AGCATCTCAAGACGTTGTCCCTTGGTGCCCTTCAGGTCCGTAATATGTGGAACATTCTCAAGCTCTCCTTTTACGTGACCTTTGCCTATGTACTATCTGTGACATTGATTGCTCATTGATTGCCTGATCGAATTACCTGTGCCTTCCTTGTCTGGTGCCACACATGACCTCGTGTTGTAGCTTCTACTCGACTGTGCTTAAACTACTGCTCAGAAATAGGAAACCAGAACCCATGTTCTCTGTCTCTTAAATCTCTCCCTCTCCCTGCTGTTCTGTCTCCAGCCTTCTGACTCTCCTTCCCTGGAGAATAGTGACGGCACGCACGCACGCATGCACGCAGTTTATAGTTGTCTGGAGTCTGTTGTACTCAGTTTGCCCTTCACAGGTCTCTGGAGCCATCTGCTCCTGCTCCTCCTTTTGTCCTCTGACCTCTGGGATCTGAGCCTCTAAGTTCCTTCCCTCAGTCCCTTACACTGGACTCTGCCCTGCTCTCTAAGGAGGCTTGCTCTCATTGTTGGCAGGCTCACTTCCCTTTATTTGTCAGCCACACTGCCTTCCTTGAGAAGGTCCCTCGGCACCCCATCACATGCTCTATTTCAGGGCCTTGGGTACAAATCACTTAGTGCTTTATTGCACGTTAGTTTATGTGCTTCTGTTCCCTCTAAGATGCAGGTTTTGTGAGACCAGGGCTGTGTCCACCTTGTTAGCTTAGCCCTGGATGACCTAGGGTGGTGCTAAGTACATGGAAGTGTTTCACAAGCATTAATAGTCTTGACTGCCTTTAAGATCCGTATAATGAGGTGATTATTGAAGCAATCTGTTATTTTGTTTGGAAGACATCATGCATATATGGACATGTGTCCATTTACCCACAATAATTTTTAGTAGTTGTGACATGAAGTATTTTCACCTCTATTTGTCTCTAACATGATTCTTTCCGGTTTTAGCTTGTATCTGGTTCAAGTATACTAGGTTGTAGGGCATCAGTTTGCACTTCCCACTCAGAGCCTTCATGATATAAAGGACTGCCCCTATTTTAGCATGTATTTTCCTATGCTTCGAATTTGTATTTTCTGCCTTTCCTTTTTAATGACAAAATAAATTCATTTCTCGGTTTCCATCTGATCAGGTCGTCACTGATCTTATAATCTTGACTTTATATTTTTGGAAGAAATGGCTGTGCTTTCTCATGTTTCTTTCCTTTGGGGATGGCCTGACATGGATGGTAACAACTTGCTGTTCCAGGAGTCTTACCGTATACCCAGATGCTGAATAAGGTGAACAGACAGGCAAGGACATGTGACCAGGAAAGGAAAATTGTGTCCCTTCTCTGCTTTGAGCTGTGTGTCTCTGCAGCATGCCACAGTGTGCAGGGAGGAGGGGTTGCTGGTAGAGAGGCAAATTCAGGTGCTGGGATTATGTTTTTTGAAGACAATTGTGTCATAATTGTCTTCAATATGAAGTCCTCTCTCCCATTCTTCTTTCCATTCTCATTTAGTTCCACTGCCTATCTAGCAAATATTATCTCATACAGAATAAAGTCGATGCCCTACTGGAATTTCCTGTGTCCATGTAGACAAGGTTTGTCATCAGTGGGACTGGAAGGAAGCAAGCGGACTGTGGCTCCAAGGCTCTTCCTGGAGCTGGCAAGCCCCAAAGCTGCCAGTTTGTCCCTCTCAACATCGTTATGCACGTCTAGAGCACGGATTTCCCTTTCTCAGGTGACATTCCCTCTGCATTTGTTCCTGTTGGGTCATATTTGAAAAGTGGAATTCTACAAATCACCCTATGTCATGGTGATTTCTGAACATTCTGAGGGCTTTTGTGTGGATTGGTCTTGGGGATCAGTGCAGAACAGTGAAGCTGGGTGTATTGACTGGAATTCACATATCCTTGGTACACATATAGATCCACACTAATAATCGAGTGAAAGGAAATGGCTTCCCATGGCAACAGAAGACTAGCAAATGGGAACAATTTAGCTTTTAATGCACATGGGATGTAATCACCAGATTAGCAGCTACAGATGCAGCCCCAAAGCCTCTTAGTCAGTTTATTGGCCTGGATCCATCTGGCCATTGTCCAGCATGCCCTACTTTCCAGATAAGGGTTAGCATATATTTTAGAGATCAATTGACTCTAACCACATTTTATCAAGATGCATGTAAATTAACCCAAAATATGAAGTCAATATCCATTAAGCTACTTTATGCAAAAATGTTAGGGGTGGGTATGCCTGTAAGGGAAGGTTAACCATGGATCCAGACAAGACCTGCCTTTGAGGACTGTCTACATCTCTATAGCCTTCAGGCCAGTCGTATTCTCGGTAGACATCTACTTTTGCTCATTTGCAGAAGGATGGGAATTAATCCTAAAATAACCAATGGGTATCAGACACAAAGAATTGCTTTTAGGATAATTAAAACTATTTTGAATCTTTTATTTATCAATCTGGTTTCTAATATAATTTTAGGTAAATGAAAGACATTCACAAAAGAATAATAGGCATACATACATAATTTCCTTCTTTCATTCTAGTTTACATGCTGTTGCTTTTAGAGAGTGAAATTCGGTGTTGTTTCACAGGGCTGGAGTCCTGACTGACTCCCAGGAAGAATGCTCAGCCTGGGCCTTCCTCAACACTAATCTCCACAGACACCGAGTGCTCACTTCCAAAGTGAGAAGAACCCGGCAAAGCAAAACTGAGAGTCGGCAACATCGAGAACAGTTTCTTGGCCTACTCGGGAGCAACCGCCACACCTTCACAGCCATTGCAGAAGCCAGCAACCAAGTGAGTCAGCTGAGCCTGGGAAATGGGGCAAACTATCTTAGCAGACGTGTTCTTACGGCACATTTCCATCTGGAACAGAAACGTGTGAATGGATGTTGCACAAGAACACACGTGTGCCCCTTTTTATCTTTATTACCTTCTTTCAGTCTTTACTCAACTTTTGGACATAATTTCTCTGTTTTATTGACAGTGATTTTTTTTTTTTAACAGACCATTCTAAATGATAGGGGAAAAAAATACTATGGTTAAAAAAAAACGCTCTTTAGGGTTTCTGACATTGCCATGCAGGGTGACTGCAGGGTGTGTGTGTGTGTGTGTGTGTGTGTGTGTGTGTGTGTGTGTGTGTGTGTGTCCGACTTATATTCCAGTTACTGGCTGTCTGAGACTATGTGTACACTGTGAGCCACAAGTCATGCCCAAGTGAGGATTCAGTGATTTACAATAAAATTTCCAATTTCTCCAGGTTTCCACTGTGTTCTACTTTCCTATGTTGACAGCCTAGCTGCCCAGAGGTCTTTCTGAGTCATAATTCAGCAGTGATTCAACAATGCCCCCAAGTCTCCATGTGTGTGCATGGCTACATTGTTTGAACAGTACTTTTTAGATGCAGCTTACAACCACAAGCCAAGTCAGTCTTTTATGAGGTTCCTTTGACCTTGGAATTTATATTTGGGCTTCAAAGTGTTGCACAGTCAAGAATTCATCATGCTCATAATTGTCTTTCAAAGCAGGTAAAGCGGCTCCATTTCAAACACTGGAAGGATGGACAGAAATTCAAGGGCATGGCCAGGATCACATAGCAAGTCTAGGAAGGAAAAAAGGGTGGGGATTCTTGATAATTTTTATTTATGATGTGTGTGTGTGTGTGTGTGTGTGTGTGTGTGTGTGTGTGTG